GCTTTATGTCTTAAAGAAATTAATTGTACCTATTCATTCCAAAAATAGTTGATACTTTTTTAGCTTTAATAATATATCACTGCAGAGATTTTAGGCAAATAAAATAAAAAATAATTTTAATTAAACTCAGTAACGTTATACTTCAAACTCGCTAACTAAAAAATATAAAACTAAACCAAATTAATTCTCGGGCTTCCTCCTAACCTAAGTGTTATATATCGACACAATTGTTAGGAGAGCATTTTTGAAGTTTGATTACGTTTACTTCTTATTTTCACCGAATCGATTTTATTAATTTTTATGTCATTAAATCCAGAATGTCATAATGTATAATGTATAATGAGCTATCAATTTTTTTTTCAGTAAAACTTGAATTAATGTAATGAAAAATAAAAAAAACCATAAAGTCCCCGTTGAGAAACAAAAAGGTTCTAGGGATAGAAATTTATGTTAGCGACATTTTAAAATAAACAGTGTTTATAACCTTTTGATGTAAATAATACAAAGAGTATTTGTATTATAGATAGAACCTATTGACCACAATTTCAAAAATATATTATTGTTTCGTTAGTAAAATAATGTCAACAAGGTACCTTTTGTTTCTCTATTTCATTGACTATCAAAATGGGTTACCTACGTGTCAGCGTTATCCAACTAAATAAGATTATCGGTGTACATAGAACTTATAGTTTTTCTATATCTTTCTAATAAATATACAAATTTAAACAATTTTAATTCAAAATTGTACATTATTACCTTATAAACCATTTTATAAAACAAAATAATTTTTAAATAAATTGACTTTAGAACCCTATTAGTTTCCAAGCACTATTTCAAACACGATTTGTTCAATATTTATTAGGCATTTATTTCGTAGAATTGTGAATTATTTTAGAAAAAACTTTTAGCAACTTATGGTTATATATATGTATATTAAACTAAGGAAATTATTATTTAAATCCCTTAACCATAAAAATAATACACTCAATATAATATAAAATTCTGCAAATATCTCTATTTACTAAAAAATAAATTTAAGTAAAAAAATAATAAATTGTAAAAAACTGATAACTAAAAATAAAATAAAAACATATTTCAAGTATTTTATTTTCTGTTGCTTACTTTTCAATCATAGTGTTTTACTTTATAGTTATATAATAAAATAGTAATATAAAATACAACAATCTTTTAATATAAAATACAAATGTGCGGTTAGTCACTCAACTACTAATAATTTATGTTAATTTATTTTAGTATGTTTAATAAGAAATTTAAGTACTTAAAATTAATTATTTAAGTATTCTTTAGATAACTTAATAACCGCTAAATTCTGGTCACCAGTTCAGAAAGCAAATGTTTTGTGAGAGATCTGTGTTCGGTAAAATCTATAGTTGGATATACCTGATACATTTTACCATTGATTCTAAACGTATTTAAAAATCATTTTTATGTGTTTATTGCACTCTATTGATAAAAATTGTTTTGAAAATCAATAGTTTAGTTATTTTTCCGACAGATAGCGATGTAACAAAATAAATATTAACCAAAATCAATAAATTATATCAATATAAATAACCTAATGCTTATATGCACTTACATGCAGTGAAGGGTTGTATAAAAAAAGGACACCAATGTAGGAAAGAATTTGGCGTTCACCCTTCTGCGCGAAAATAAATTTCGTTTTGATTACAATAATAATAGAGGTATAGAATTTTGAACAATATACTATTTCATAGCCAAACCGACTCAAAACTAAAACCAATTGATCCAGTAAATTGCAGAACATTTTTTTTTCAGAATTAAAAATTTGTTATGTGGCTTTTATCTTGAAATATTAGATGAATAGGTAAAGCTTATCTAACCGAACTGAATTTTCTATTGGCTGTAGCTGCTTCCTTTGCACGTGGCACTATAGACTTTTCAGGCCAACCGCCTATACATAATGTGATATGGCGTTGCATTGATAATGACCGAGACCGCAATTTAATAATATTATGCCTGGCCGGGCAATATCGAAAATTGTCTTAAAGGTTAACCTTATCCGTGTCATTGGCCTCGTCAACATTATTATTCCGAGCCGTTCGATCATGTGTCGTCAAATCTAGGAAATCTTTTTTACCACGCCAATAGGTAATGCTATGTTATTTTTAGACTTGTAACGCGCAATAGAACGTCAAAATCAAACCGCCCACAATTTATATCTAGTTAATGATCGTTCGCCCGCCATCGAGATGTTATCGACCTCGTCATTAGTGTGGCTCGGAATGATTTGGACTTTGCGTACATGCAATGATGTACAAAGTGAAATATTGTTTGTTAACTCGTGTTGGTCTAATATAAATTTACATTTTATTGAGCTTCGATCGAAACGGCGAGTGTCACGTTGATTATCTATAACTATTAATTATATCCTTTCCCCCCATTCATGTATTCTCTAGATAGAGGGTTGTGTATCACTGTGCCTGGATCTTCTGTGAGAAATCCCTGGGGCCGATTTAGTCGAACGTTTAGAAATTGTATTTATCGGTGTTTGTGTAGTGAGGCCCGTGAGGGCAGGGGAGAATGGTTTAAGTTCACTCTGGCGCCATTAAAAATGAAGAAAACTCTTCAAGTTTCACTTGCTATAAATTTGTAAGAATTGTTTGTTTACCGAATAGAATATAGAGGATATTATTTTAATATCAAAGTTTTGAATGTATTCAACAGAGTGTTCCTTTATTTCACATTTATGATAATACTGTCAATATATTGTTAGTAATAAAGTTATTGGAAAATAAGAACATACATTTTGAAAAAGGAATAAAATAATTCAACCATGAGTATAGTCGCGACAGTGGGACGGTTAGGTGACTATATCGCTTTAAAGATAGACTCTGCAACGAATCCGAAACGTCAGGAACAAATCAAAGACATGGATACATCCTAAGATTATCAAGTTAATAACATTTCAATCCATGATAGCTTTGATACAATCATATTTTAAACCAACCACGAATTCATTTTTTTGATTAACTTAAGTCTGAATTGGATAAAAGTATTTTTTCTTTTCAATCTACAATTTGATCGATTTTAACATTCTTTGTAAGTTAACCGTAAAGATAAATGAATTCAAGATTGTAAAAAGTTAATTTTAATTATATCCGAATAAATATTTTTTGAAAACTTCAGCTGTGTTGGAAATCTTAATTCATGCCTCTTATTCCTTATTTAATATAATATTTCAATTACTATTACTATTTTTTTTTACACGATTCGTTTACAGCTGTTTAAATGACTTGGTATAATAGTTAAACAAGTTTTTAAGCTGTGTTTAGGAAAATTATACACATGTATTGTATTCTCTAAACTCAACAATTTAATTTTTCACACCTAACTTTAAAAACTTCCACCTAAAAAGTTGTTTTATTCACACATCAAAGATACTTATACATAGTGTATAGTGTACTAGTGTCTAGTTATTTAAAATCCACTACACATGTTTAGTCTCGTCTTCGGTTGCCTTTAGTTTTAACACATAGTGGCTAGTATAGAATTTAAAAAATTAAAATTCTCACACAATGGAATGATTTAAAAATTAAGAAAATGTCACTAAAAATATTCTTCTAGAACTCGGAAGATTATAATATTTTAGAGAGTAAAGATCATGCGTGTGATGATTTTTACAGCCTAATTGCTAACGGTCTGCGAGCAAAGGTTTAATATCTTTACATTTAAAATTACCACTTAAATATATGTAGGAACTATTGCGAAGCCGCATATCAAGGGGAGCTCCACTCACTTGGCGACGAGTTATGACTTAGTTGTTCTTGTTTAAATCATAGAAACTCTATTAATTGTAGGTACTTTTAAAATACCGACAAACTATGGAGGGTTGTCGATGACCTAGGACACCAAAATCCTATTTACGCGTCTGGTGTGTACTTGTGCTGGCCGTCTGTAGACGGTTACTTATTATTAGTAATTTGAGTGTGGAGTGCAATTATATACTTTACCGTCGGTATACTTATGTAACGTCCGCGTTCGCAAGGACTTGGGGGGACGATACAAAAATGATTATTAGCTATTTTTGTCCGCTCCAGGTCACCGCCACCGCCACCGTCTTAGTAATTGCCGCCGATATGTCACAGCTCCGTCTGTACAGAAATAAGTCATCATAACGGTCGAACAACGACCCGTGTGTTTTTAAACTTGAACGATTTTTACCTTAGTCGACCCTTCCGGGCGGAGGTCTAGGCGCGTGGGAGCGCATAACGGTAATTGTGTTGCGTAGGTAAGGGACAATCCCATTGTCGGGCACACGTTCCAGATTGATATTATTTATTAATACACTCACAACCTTGAACGAAATCCGATGTATTATTAGAGTACCTCTAAACTCTATGAGGTTGCTAAAGTTTGTACTTGCCCGTCCTAAGATTTTTAGCAGGGTCGCGATAGTTGCGTAAACCAAATAGTCTTGTATCTGCAGTACCTAGAGTATACTAACCATTTTTGTAAATTGAGTATATTTCAATATGATAAAGTTAACATAAAAATGTGTAATGTCGACAGCGTATGGGAATGAGTGCTACAGATAGCGTTTGCACCTGCTGAACATTTTTCTAGAGTTTCTCAAATTTTCTCTACACTTAAATAATTGTATTCAATACATCCTCTTCGCTGATTTTTGATTCGCCGTGACTCGCATAAGCGTGATAATCTTATCCGTGTGCTGTCTGTGCGGTTAAACTTTGATGTCTAAACGCCAAAATCATTTTACAGTCACACCGGTCGTGAACGCTTTAGTTATACCGTCTTGTCCGAAATCACATGACTGTAAGCTCAATAGTAGCAGCTGTAAACGCGGTTCTTTTTTCTTTGGCCTTCGCCTGCACCGCCACTACGACACGGCAACGCACACGTTATTATTTTAAACTCTGCTCTGCGTTATTTTGATCACCGTCCAAAACACCAATACGTTCTGGTGCTCATCATTTTGGTAGGGTTCCACATTTCCTTCTCGTTCATCGACACACCGCTAAGCCGAAATTATAATTATTATCGCGTTAACGGCGCCGTGCATCGCGTGTATCCACTGCAAGTGAATATTATTCGGCATTCTTCTTTCCGACATAGTTCAAGTGGATTTTCAAACTGTTTTGATGTCTTTGTGCTACATAGTTGGACTTCGTAAGTATACATAAGTATGAGTTATTGTAATAACATTTTGAGTGTGGAGTTTATTAACTTTCAATTACATAGCTATCATATAGTTCAATATCGATTTTTGGTCCTTTGAACCGGAATGATAGTCCAGCGGTGGTTCGCTCCCTTTTTGGGTCTATCATATCTAGCGTGTTTGTCCCGCCTGGGCAAGTCCGGGCGAGTGGTAAGGGAGTGGAGTCATAGCCTAAAGGAAGTAACCATATTTAGCTATATTTAGTCCGGTGGGCTGGCGTTACCACCTTTAATAGCCGCTTGAATGTTTGTCCATAAAACAAAAAATGCGTAAACTTTATTTAATAAAATATCATTTTAACACTCGGACGGCGCACCATAGTAAAGATATTTTTAAGTGTGTCTGGCGTGTGGTAAGCTAGTAATTTTTCTCCTTCGCCGTTTGCAGAACGCTGTAAGGGTAAGACGTTGTACAGTGATAATCACGAGCAGACGTCTGAAAAACTAATGTCGTTGTACTATTGAGCTTGTTCTATACATTTTCGGCCATTAACATTATAATATTGTTATTATTATCTATTATCATCATCATCAGAAATACTGCGAATATTATTACAGGCTGGAACAAAATGAGCAGCAACGACGGAGTGACCGAAGACGGCGATTTTGCCGATTACACGTGCCGTGAGTAACGATAATTTTTGTTCTCAGTAGCTGTTAAGATCCGCGACTAACATTCGTACGACAGCAATAACGGTAACTGAACAATACCGGATTTGGTGCAAAATAAAAACTATTACACTTTTGCGATGAGTACCCGAGCAAATGCCATAAGACCGGCATGAACGGGCGAACCCTTAACTGTGTTGGATGTTTGTTGTGCTTTTGTTTTTTAATTTTTTTACTACTAAAATGTGTGTTTAAATATTTTGAGAAAGTCTGTTTATAGTGTCTATATGTTAAACTTTTAAATATATATTTTTTTTTTATAAAAACGGCGTCGTTGGCGATAAACAATAATTCGAGTCGAACGCCAGCTGGTCTCGGATTGTTTGAATTACAATAGGAATATAAATCATAAATTACATTATTTTGGGAGCTGGTATTTGCAATATTGATTGATGGTAAACAATAAAATAAAATGGCACGGACAGATTAGTTGGGTAAAGTGAAAAACCACCCGTTTACATTCATCAGTGTTGCTCGGAGTCTTACTCATTTGAATGTATGCCAAAGTTAAAATATTTGTTCTTTTATTATTGTAGGCAAAATCTTAATTACTATGTTAAAAAAAACAATTTTGGTGGTCAAGTCGTTTGATCAGTTTATTTACCAATAAAGTAATAACTATACAGGTAACTTCTTCGACCTACTAATTTAAAATAGCATACACCATATTATGCGTTACTGAGGTCATTGCCGACTCTAGACACACATCGAGCAATTTTATATTTTATGTTATAGCACTTGAGATCTTTTGGCAAAACTTTTAACGCATAAAACTGTATAATCACATGCACAAACGTATGCAGAACTGTAATATTGTTATGAATATAAAATAAAATACTGACTAAACAGTAAACACAGGCGGTTAAGAAAATATAAAAGCCCGAAACTGCTCGAATGAATTGCATGGGGTAGTGTTCCACTCCATTTGACTTTCGAATCGTTTGTTCAGTATGCATTACACTTAATAATGTTGCTAACGATCGGGATTTCTACTTGATTCGTTTGTATAAATTCTTATATAAGGTTTACGAGTCTCTAGAGGATGAAAAGCCTATAGATCATTTCTACCCAATGTATACATACCTAGCAAAAGCGCGTTTTTTATTTTATCAAAAACCGCGTTGGACGTCATGATCGAATGTACACCAAGACTGTAAATCATTTGGCACAACACGTTCTGTTCGATGAAGGAATATTAAGTAATATTGTCTAAAGACAGTACAAGTACACAATCACAGTGAAAAATCTCAACGGGCGGTCTGAAAGAATTTCACAAACCACACTGTAGGCACTATTTACATTCAGATGTTACGTTGTTTGTATACTTAATAAGTGCAAGTCGGGAGATACGGATTTCCGACACTAAATTATACTATAATAATTTGTTCGTATCCAAGTAAGTTACTTTCTTTTCTTTAGCACGATTTGTTGAACACATTATGTTACCCTTAAAACCTGGTAAAACAAATGTTGGGTTCAAATGCTATTAAACACTTGAGTAGAGCTGATTTAACCGAGCCCTGAGGTACATGTAAGGATTTACTATAGAAAATAAATATTTAGTTCATTTTTGGTTCTCTAGGGAAAATATTGTGCGCCTACTTACACCATATTTGATACGATAATATTCGAAGTTACTCAGTGCGTTTTATGTATTAGTTGGTCGAATCGTATTTTATATATTTTGTACTTTTTAGTACCAATATATTCAATGTGGTTGTAATTAATGAAGTGCATACATCATTTAAATGAACGCTTATCTTTTACATAATTTAATTAATTCAACGACAGCTCGTGTTCAAACAGATGAGTGAATGTACTCAAACATTATAATAGTGCCAAAAGAAAGAATGCATATTTTACATTGTGCAAATTGCAGATGGCGAGAAAGATCTTAATAGATATCATTAATCATTATTAATTTTTCATTTGTTCGAAATTAACAGTATTCTAATGCTATTTTTTATATAAAGCCATAAAGGTGATCAATAATTTTGTTTTAATTAGAATTTAACGTAAAAAACAATTAAGTACAAAATACAAATTATTGGTTATTCAAACGTTGTTTTTTTTTTTTAAATCACTTATTAGAAGAGTCTATGTTTTTAACCAAAACCGTGATTCGCTTGCTTCGATCCAACAATCCAAGATCTATAAATACAATATTATGTGTTTTATTTTAACATTAATTATTTGTTGTAATTGTACTTTGAAAACGTTGGGGCATACAGTTAGGTTAGGTTAAATAGGCTAATTACATTTCCAAAATATTTGGTTCGCAAATTTTATACTTTTTTGGCAAAGCTCCACATTTTAACTATTTAGCAGAAAACAGTTGTATAAATCGGTTTGATTTTAGCCGGACGAGAGCAAAATAATTGTTGAAAAATAAAGCAAAGTATGAAAGTCTTAAGGCTTCATTGATTGAAATATTATTTGGATAATTTTCAGATGTATTCATGTCTTCAGTTGTATGCTGTCGTGACTATACCGACTGGCTCCGGGCTCAAATCTTATTCTTACCGCGTCCCGCATCCTGAAAGGCACGTTATCTCGTCATGTGGCTTTCTTTGTATGTTGTGTTTTTTTTGGCATTTTTTACATATTTCTCTTTCTTTAAGGAATCAGCCAATTTCAAATTTTATTTCGACGATGGCTACTTTTATTTTTCGGATTACACGGTTGTTAAATTTGTTTGTTTCTTTTTTTCGGTTGAATAATTGTTTTTCATTTATTGCTAATTTTTCAAACATATTTTCTATTGAAACGTTGTGGATTTTTTCAATTTCTCGTGCTTTAAAGACATCCTTTTTCCGAAATTAACTTCTTCTCTTAGTATAAAAAATATACTAAAACCTTGTCAAACTAAATGTTATGTGCGCCATCTTCTGCGTGTTAGGCTACTGCAAACTTGTCTATTCTTTTAAAAGTAGTTTGGACTATAATATAATATAATAATAACTAAAGTGTTATTTCATCTTTTCAACCGCTACTAATTCTAATGACAAATCGGCCATATAAAATATTATAATAAACAATAAACTTAAATGCAATAAACATTTACATTAAAGTTTGTATGCTGAGAGTTATTAAGTTTTATCTTATTATTAAACGTTAATTGCGGTTATGTGGAACGGTTGTAAAATAAATTAGCTGAATGTAAATGATTATTTTTTTTTTAAAAACATCATACAATTTTGTGTCATATTTAATCTTTTGGCATATTATTATTTATGTCTGTAATATAGCACTAAAATCACAAAATGTCATGTTTAAAATCAAAACATTTTGTTTTATGCTTATTTTTTTTATGATTAAAAAAAATATAGGTATTTGAATTTACTTCTCTTGTAGGTACTTAATTTATATTAATGTCTATTTAGAACATCTTAAAGAATTCCATGTAATGACTTAGTTTTGCATTTCTAATATTTCTACCTGCAATTCAAAAAATAAAAAGAACACCAATGTTTGGAAATATTGTACTTTAGTAGATAATAAAAGTGTTGTAAAGCGACATCTATCGCTGCAAAAACTATATTGTGTTATTCATTGTTCATTCTAGAGCGCGTTAGGCTACTCACATTCGTCTATGGTCATTCAATTTTGCTACTTACTTAACAAGATATTTGTTATTTGCTCACTTACAGATATGTGTACTTGGTAGCACTTGTGTGTGTACTATTTGTAGTATTATTAAATTAGAATTTCAACTTAAAGTTGTATCGGCGAGAATTTTAGAGCGTTCTCATCTTCAGCAATGTTATTTTGTTCAATTGAACACAATAATTATTAAAACTTTGAATGGACAAAAAACTGTCAATTTAGTATTTTTTTAAATATATAAATATAAAGCATAGTTTGTAAGAAGGAAGTAATGCACCGTAATATTACTTTTGGTAGAGTTTTCAAAAATATTGAACAAAAACGTTTTTAAAAAATGCAAAGTTTTGATATTTAATACCAATGTATAACTTAAAATATTCTATAGTATGATTATTGATTAATACTAAAAAGTTTAAAGGAGAAAATCATAAAAACATTAGCATAATTATTAGTCTTACACAAATTATGTTTCATTCACTCTTTATAAATAGCATTCTGCATTGTACTACCTATATTACAATGTGTCCAGACACCTATATTTATTATTTGTATAATATAATATTATAATGTATATTTTAACTACGAATCATTTGTTAAACCAGTTTTAAATAAATTAAATCATATTGAATTACTTCTATTAAGTCTGTGTCAGAAGCTTATTGAGGAATGGCAGAATATGCTGTCGTTTCTACTCCTGACACGGTCATTAATTAATAATTACATGACACTCCATGTTAATATCGACGTCTTATTTTGATTTAACACAAACATATTGTGACGTAGGTACATTAAAACTGAGAAAAGAACTTCTCAATAGTTGTCCAACAATTTCCTAAAATGTTAACAAAAACAGCTTTAAATTATTTTATGTACGTTAAATTGGCCTTTCAATTACAATAATTACATACATTTTTCCAAGCCGAGTAGAAATACATATTAAGATATATTAGAAATTCAAATGTTAGGTTTATGATTACGTTTACAACGGCAAAAAACTAACTAGTTGCGTTAACTAACTTAAGCTTACCAAAAAGTGACGTTTAACTTTGTTTACAAGACAGTTACTAATAGTGAGGCTACTATTATTATTATTAACACGACAAAAAATACATTTATCTTCTCGAGTTATGGATGTAATTAGTTGCGACTTATCTTCAGTGTGCGCTTTGTTAACAAAAACATTCAACGAGACGCTAGGCATGTTTCAACGTTAGATTATAAATGCAAAGGTCTACAGAAATAAGTTAGTTATTCAAATATGAGATTGGTACGACATACGAGATTACAGTAGTCCTCGTTCGATTAAAATAATATTCTATATGTCGACTTTTTAAACCAAAGTAATCTGC